AAAAAAAAAAAAAAAAACCAAATGCCATACTCTGGTTTCTCTTGAATTTTTAAAAAATGTTTTATTATTTATTTTGGAGAGAGAGGAACTCACGAACCTTCAGATTATGACCAGAGCCGAAGTCGGATGCTCAACCGATGAGCCACCCACCCAGGCATCCCTGGTTTCTCTTGAGATGGAATAAATCTTTCATCTTTTACTAAAAACAAAACAAAACAAAACAAAACCAAAAACCAAAAACAAAACAGCAAAATCATAGCATGCCAATTGGCCATTACTTAACTTATACATAAATGTAATGTTACATATAAATACAAGCAACTGATACATAGTAGGGTCCCCTGTGTTGTGCATATCTTAAAACTCTTTTGTGTATTATAATATTTTGATAGCTTAAGAAACCTTTCCGGGGTCGTCTGCCTGGCTTAACTGGTAGAGCATGTGACTCTTGATCTCAGGGTCATGAGTTTGAGCCCCACGTTAAGTGTAGAAATTACTTTTTAAAAATTTACATTGAAACAAAACAGAACAACACTTTCAGCTGTAGGGCTTTCTAACCCTTCCCTGAGGCTTCTGCCAGTTCTATAGAAGATAGCAGGCCTGCATGTCCTTGACATGCAAACCCACAAATCCACAACCACACTTCCTTTATTTGGCCCCTACACCCCAGGAGGCAAAATTCTCATCCCAGGAATGGTGGGGGGGGGGGGAGGGGAACTAGGGACCAGTTCTATAGGTTAGAGCCCAACAAAATTATTCAAACTAGATAGTCCTCAACTGTTTACCCTTACCCTGCCTTACCTTTCTCCCTGGAAACTCCAATAAAGGCTTCCTAGGGGCCTGCAGGATCAGGTGTTGCTCTGACTTAACTTTGGGCTCAGGTCAATGATCAGGCCAGTTCTGAGTTCAAGTCCCCTCATCGGGCTCTACAGCCATAGCAAAGACCCTGCTTGGGATTCTCCCTCCTTCAGCTTCTCGCCTCCCCACGCAGTTTCTCAAAATAAGTAAAAATAAACTTAAAAAAAAAACAAGACCTAGACCTTCTGTTTCCAGTTATCTTTCTTTTTTTTTTAATTTTTTTAATTTTTTTAATTTTTTTCAACGCTTATTTATTTTTGGGACAGAGAGAGACAGAGCATATTTGAACAGGAGGCAGAGAGAGAGGGACAGAACCCGGGAACAGGCCCCAGGCTCCTGCCGATCTAGAGCCTGAGCAAGGGGCCTCGGCAACTCACAGACCGTGAGATCGTGATCTGGCTGTGAAGTCAGGATCATGAACCCCACTGCAGCCTCAGGCTCTAATGTTTATTATTTTTGAGACAGAGACAGAGAGCAAGCAGGGAAGGGGCAGAGAGAGAGGGAGACACAGAATCGGAAGCAGGCTCCAGGCTCTGAGCTGTCAGCACAGAGCCCGATGCGGGGCTCAAACTCACAGACTGCCAGATCATGACCTGAGCTGTAATTGGCTGCCCAACCGACTGAGTCACCCAGGCACCACTGTTCCCTCCTATCTTCTGCCTCCTGACCACTCCAGTGTTCTTTCACGAGGCCCTTTGTGGTATTCTGTGCCTCCTATCTCTAGAACCTGTGAATATAATAAATTTTTCCTGAGTTTCTCAGTCTCCTCTTGTGGCTGCACTTGACCGATCGTCTCATAAAAGAATATAAAGCACCAACAGAGGACTGCCTCAGACCTACAGATGTTAAAATAGTTCCTAGCGATCCCCTTGATCCATCCCTCATGATTCTCTCTCCTACATGCCTCCTTCCCAAAGCCAAGAGTGCATCTAGTTGGTGATCCTGAAAATGCCCCCACCTCCCACCCAGGTCATACACTGCACTGGGCATTTATTCTCTTCTGCCCCTGACAAGGTCTCTTGTTTTATCAAACATGGAGAGCAGACTCTTATCATTCTCAGGTTTGACATTCTCTGGTTGAAGGAGAGAGCAGAATACGCCACCCCCAAATATGCCACTTGGGCATATTGATTATTGTGAATCAAAAGGTACCTGAGAAACACCTGGTGCAAGGACACTCTGACCCTCTTGTCCCCCCGAAGCAGGAGATAAATCTCCCATGTAAAAGGCACCCTTCCCACCAGAGACAGGGAATGCAGGGCCAGGAAGGCTGTATAAACAAAAACTGTTAGTTCTTCAACAATTCACTACCCCGGGCACCTGGGTGGCTCAGTTGGTTAAGCGTCCAACTTCAGCTCAGGTCATGATCTCACAGCTTGTGAGTTCGAGGCCCGAATCAGGCTCTGTGCTGACAGCTCAGAGCCTGGAACCTGCTTCAGATTGTGTGTCTCCCTCTCTCTCTGCCCCTCCCCTGCTCACACTCTGTCTCTCTCTCTCTCTCTCAAAAATAAATGAACATTAAAAAAATTTTTTTAAGAAAAAATGCCTTAAAATGATATATAAAGCTTTACTGAAGGCTGAAAAGTTTATTACCTTCTGGTATAAGGATATTTGGAGGAAACATGTGACTGTCTATGGAAATGTGATTTGGGATAAAGCTAGGAAAACAGTTCAAACATTTCTCTCTTCAGGGATTTGGATGTTCAGAAGGGAAATTTTCCTTATAATTTTAAGACTCGAGACTATTCTACCTCTATTGGTCACCTGGCTATATAATCTCTCATAAGCTCTCATTTTATATCATTATTCTACAAAACCCTGTGCAAGCCCTCTACTTAATGACTAGTCAGAACCTGAGACAATATCCCTGCCATTTATCTCTCAGGGAATATGATTGACTCACCAACCTTACCTCCACAGAAATCCCATGGAATAATTTACTCCTCCACCAAGAGTATGCCATACTGCAGCCGTTATAGCTTTGTCCTAGGAACTTGCTCAAATTACTGCGCACTATCACAAGCCCAGGAAGAGCTACAGACCATCCACCAGCTTTTCTAAGATATTTGATAAGTTGTATCATAAAGTGAAAGTATCAAGTACTAACAGAAAATCCAAGCTAGAGAAACCGACTGGCTTGCTTCTTCGTATGTCTCCCCTCCTTCCAGTCCAAGCTGGAAGACTGCCCACCCCTCTTTTAAAGCAAGTATGGTGATTGAGTTAATAAGCCTCTTAGATTCTCTTCTCCAACAACCCCTTCTCTATTCAGATACACCCTTGCTGAATGTTGTAGCTCACAAACTAGCACCCAGTCTCAATAAAAACGAAAAAGAGTAGATGCTTGAGAAAATACTGGCCTTGGCCATCTCTAACACTTGATACAGTGGGAAAGGCACGTGACCCAAAGAGAGGAGGGATCTGGTTGATTGCACTCCATAGCTGGGTATACAAGAGGCGTACCTGGATCCCATTCCATCCGGGCATCCAAGTTGAGGGCTGGTGTCTCCTTTATTCCTGGCTCTGTAAGCCATCACAGCAAACTAATACATGCATCCACCTGCTGGTTCACAAAGACAATTCACCCAATATTGCCAATGCCTACAAACCTGGGAAAAGCAAGAAGGTATTTCCCACTGATTTTATAAAAATGTTCAGAACCCTGCCAGCAACAGATATACACTTTAACTATTTACAAGGAGAGAACAGGGCTTAAGGGAGCCAAAAAGAGACAGTGAAGTGTCCCGGGGCTAGTATTGAGAGGCAAGGGGGAAGGTGTGATTATCAGGATCTGGACAGGTCAGCTGCGCAGAGGCCAGCTCAGGACAGAACTGGTCCGAAGTCACACACCATCGGAGACAGAGGCACAAGGCCTGGCTAGGCTTATGCATAGCAAGCTGTTCTAATCTTTGGACCATGAAGTCTGTACAGCACAAATAACCACCTCTGAGTGTTAATCATATAAAATCTGCCCCTAGGGTTTTAAAGCTGTCACGGTCCACGAAATTTGGTTTCTTTTTCCTTCTAATTTAGATCCCACAGGGACTTCACGTACCCTTTATCATAGATGAGATCCAAATCCAAAATGAAGCCCAGAGGTATAGAGAATATTGAGACCAGTGAGCTTACAGAAGTTTGGAAAGGCCTCCATAAAGATTGGTGACGTTGACTTAGAGTCTTAAAAACACAAAACCAATGATGGAGTGATAAAATGAGAAAGAACCTGTAGTGATCATCTACTTGGAGTACAAACTCTCACACTTTTTTTTTTTCCTCTTAAGAAAGTTATAATACGAGGGGCGCCTGGATGCCTCAGTGGGTAGAGTTTGCGACCCTTGAACTCAGGGTCGTGGGTTCAAGCCCCATGTTGGGCACGGAGCATACTTAAACTTTTTAAAAATTAAAAAGAAGAAGAAGAAGAAGAAGAGGAAGAGGAAGAGGAAGAAGAAGAAGAAGAAGAAGAAGAAGAAGAAGAAGAAGAAGAAAGTTACAATACTATTCCTAACAAAATGTTTTCACGCTGGCTCACACAAAGATTTCATAAGTACATACTACAAAATAAATAGGCAATAACTTATATGGCAATGGAAGCTTAAGCTTCCATTCTATCCTGTGTCCCAGGATGGCTCAGCTGTCCCATAATTTTAATTTATTCAAGTCACTGTTAACTCTTTCTTTGCCGCAGTGCCTGGTACTCTGAGTGCTCTCATTTAGGCTTCTCTTGACAACGAGTGTGTATTCTTTTTTTTTTTTTTTTTTT